TGCTTGAATGCGGTAGATGGAGGTTGCAGTGAGCCAAGATCACGCCACTGTTCTCCAGTCTGGGTGACAGAGTGAGACTCTGCCTTAAAACAAAAAACAAAAAGGAAAACAAAAACTAAAATAAAATCAAAGCAATCTGGTGCCAGAACCACTCTGCTATACTGACTCTCATACTGTGCATATTGTTTTTCCCCTGTATTGTGTAATCACATCATGGGCAATCTTGTTATTAGATATTTCTTGTTTAACATTTAATTTTTTAATTTTATGTAATTTTTTGTTTAAGAGACAAGGTCTTGTTATGTTGCCCAGGCTGGAGTTGAACTCTTAGGCTCAAACTATCCTCCTACCTCAGCCTCGCAAGTAACTGGAACCTCCAGCATGTACCACCACACTCATCTTCTTGTTTAACATTTTAAGTGAAAGTCTACTTTTTTCTCTTAAAAGATTTGAAACATTTAAAGGTATACACAAAAATAATGTAAAAAAACTCATGCACCCACTACTAGATTTAACAAATGTTAATTTTTCAGCATATTTGCTTCATAATCCCCCCTCTTTAAAAAACACATTATAGGCCGGGCGCAGTGCCTCACACCTGTAATCCCAGCACTTTGGGAGGCCAAGACAGGCGGATCACAAGGTCAGGAGATCGAGACCATCCTGACTAACACAGTGAAACCCTGTCTCTACTAAAAATACAAAAAAATTAGCCGGGCCTGGTGGCAGGTGCCTGTAGTCCCAGCTACTCGGGTGGCTGTGGCAGGAGAATGGGCGTGAACCCGGGAGGCAGAGCTTGCAGTGAGCCGAGATTGCGCCACTGCGCTCCAGCCCGGGTGACAGAGCAAGACTCCATCTCAAAAAAACACATGTTGGCCAGGCTGGTCTTGAACTCCTGACCTCAGGTGATCAGCCCTCCTTGGGCTACCAAAGTGCTGGGATTACAGGTAGGAGCCACTGCGCCTGGCCCAATGAGGTGGATTTTTAAAAGTAAAAGAAAAAAATTGAGCTCCAGAGCTAGAAGTTCCATCCTCAGTCTGTCTGAAGCATGCCTCCTGCAATCCTTTTTCTTTTCTAAGGACCAACAAAGTCATCACTACAACATAAAGGACCCTGTGTAATCTGGCACCTGGCTTCTCTGACATTATTTCCGTGGTTTATGTGCTTCAGCCACACTGACCTCCTTGTGGGTCCTCAAACATTGCAAGTACATTCCTGTCTTAGGACCTTGGCACTTGCTCTTCTGCCTGGAAAACTCCTCCCAGGTAGAATTTATATAGTTGTCAGTTCAAATCTCAGTTCCAATGAGATGGCTTTTCTAACCAACGTCTCTAAAACACCACCTCTATCCTTTTTCTCTCTTCCCCTATCCCACTCATTTTCTTTCTTTTTTTTTTTTGCTCCATCGCCCAGGCTGCAATGCAGTTGCGCGATTTTGGCTCACTGCAACCTCTGCCTCCTGGGTTCAAGCAATTCGCCTATCTCAGCCTCCTGAGTAGCTGGGACTACAGGCGCCCACCACTACGCCCGGCTAATTTTTGTATTCTTAGTAGAGATGGGATTTCACCATGTTGGTCAGACTGGTCTCGAACTCCTGACCTCAGGTGATCCACCCTCCTTGGCCTCCCAAAGTGCTGGAATTATAGGTGTGAACCACTGTGCCTGGCCCTCACTCATTTTTTTTACACCACTAATCATCAGGAATTATATGATTACTTGTCTGTTGTCGTCCTTGCCCACTAGACTCTTTAGTAAGGCTTTTCATAAGGGTGGGCAGTTTGTTGATTGTTGGATTCCCTATGCCAGGCATATATAGCCTCAATAAATATTGTTGAATGAATTAATGGCTATCATCTATGGCAGTGTGTTTCAGCCTGATATTCAAGCATAAGTTCCTGGAGAATCCACCATTTCTTTACAGTTTAAAAATGTTTGTGTTGTCATTTTGATGCTAATCTAAAGCAAAGTCATATTATTTGTGATTTTTTTTCCAGATGGCATCTTAAAACATGAAGTTTTGAGTGCCTGAATTCACAGAGTTTAGGATTTTGTTTTTATCAGTTGAAAGCCAAAGAACATTGTGACAAAACGTGTAAGGTTTCACGATCATTTTGAGAAAAGAGGTGGGAGAGTTGAGTCATCACATGTCACACAGTAGCCCATGGCAAACTCAGTGCTGTAACTGTCAGTGCCACATTCCCACTAAAAATAGAAATTGCACATAACACTCAGGTACTTACATATATTTGCAAAAACTTAGTCACTGTAAGTAAAGTAGTAAATACACAATGAGGAAAATTTTTTTTTTTTTTGGTTCCCAGGAAGAATTAAATTAGATACTATATAATTCAGATTTAAAATAGTCAAAAAATACTAACCTTGTCTTAAAGTAAGACTCTGCTAAAGATTTATCAAGTGATATTCAAACAAAACTGGCTTTCCGGGGTTTTGTAGTGCCAGAATTTTTATTAGAATTTGAGATCTGGTTATTTCAAGCTAGCAACAGAAGACCAGGAAGTTAATAATGCAGTGTATTTGTGCAAACAGGTGTTTTTGCATTGACATTATTAAATGTATAGAGGGCCTGGGAGCTGTGACTCATGCCTGTAATCTCAGCACTTTGGGAAGCTTAGACTGGAGGATTACTTGAGGCCAGGAGTTCAAGACCAACTTGATCAACCCCATCTCTACAAGTAATAAATTTAAAATTTTTAAAAATTAGCCAGCTGTACTGGTGTGTGCCTGTAGTCCTAGCTACTCAGGAGGTTGAGACAGGAGGACTGATTGAGCCCAGGAGTTTGAGGCTGCAGTGAGCTATGATAGTACCACTGAACTCCAGCCTGGGTGACAAGGAGAGATGCCATCTCTAAAATAAAAATAAACAATAGATTAGAAGTTGAATCTTAATGCTCATAAACCTAACACTTTACAATTCAAGTTACTATTGATTTTAGTTTATTTTTGTATTTATTTATTTATTTTTTGAGACAGAGTCTCACTCTGTTGCCTAGGCTGGAACGGAGTGGCACAATCTTGGCTCCCTGCAATCTCCGCCTCCCAGGTTTGATTCTCCTGCCTCAGTTTCTGGAGTAGCTAGGATTACAGGCATGTGCCACCATACCCAGCTAATTTTCATATTTTATTTTATTTTTGTAGAAATGGGGTTTCACCATGTTGGCCAGGCTAGTCTTGAACTCCTGACCTCAGGTGATCCGCCTGCCTCAGCTTCCCAAAGTGCTGGGATTACAGGTGTGAGCCACCATGCCCAGCCGAGTTACTATTAATTTTAAATGGCAAAACCAAACAACCAATATTGTTGGAGCAGGAGAATGCTTATCACTGCAATTGTATTACTTTTGCCTGTTACCTGTCTTTATTTTCCCTTTATTTAGAACCTGAAGGATGCTTTTAGGGTGGAAGAATATAAAGTTTAAGAGTTAAGTGAAAGACTTGTTATATCTTCATTCTAGTAAGAATCTTGAGTTTTTGTAGAAGGGCCCGATCCGTCTCTCTCTGATCCATTTAACTCTGTCTCCTAAACACAGTCTAATTCAGTTCCTTTTGTATGACATAAAAATCAGAATAAGAAGTACCTGACATACTTTCTACATCTGTAGTTGCAGAAGACATTTTAATAGGTAAGAGCAAAAGCACAAGCCTGCATACTTCTTTTTTAAGTGTTTCATTTAAATAAATCCTTTCGTATTATTCCGAGATATAAGTGCATTGTGATGATGTATAAGAATTTAAATATAAGGCAGTCTGCAAGCAGGGTTTTTTAGTAGGTGGGCAGCAGTTTATTGTAGGAAATTATGTGTATGTACTAAGTTAAAGCATCAGCACTAGGTGTCCACAGATTACATCAAAGAGGGCCTCAAATTGAGTATCAGTAAAATCACAAGAAATGCACTACATCTTTTACAAGGACACCTCTGGTACAGCATTTTCCTGTTCAAACATTAATTTCCACATAGCCTGGAATTCTATGGATATTAGTAGGCATCTTGTTGAAGGAAGAGTTCTGTAGTCAAATGTGGACTAAATTAGTTTTATTCTTTTTCCACTGTAGGTCTTCTCAGAGCCTTTCTATGCTAAGGACATTGTGACTCTCCAGAGAGCAATAGTGATGGCTCTAGAATGTCTAGGAAAAAGAAAGGCTTAATGTCAGGAGTCTGCTGGGGGCACACAACACTGGACTATGTCCTCCTGCACATTGTTTCATATCGAGTGTTTATTTTATGGTCATCTGGGATGCTGATAGGAATAATTGGATGTTAGTGCCCTAAGCCACCTCTGCACTATTTTCATTATTTATTTATTTATTTATTGAGACAGAGTCTCGCTCTGTCACCCAGGCTGAATTGCAGTGGTGCGATCTTGGCTCACAGCAACCTCCGCCTCCCAGGTTCAAGCGATTCTCCTACCTCAGCCTCCCAAGTAGCTGGAATTACAGGCACCTGCTACCATACCTGGCTAATTTTTGTAGTTTTTGTAGAGACGAGTTTCACCATGTTGGCCAGGCTGATCTCAAACTCTTGACATCAGGTTATCCACCTGCCTCGGCCTCCCTACTGGGATTACAGGCGTGAGCCACTGTGCCCGGTCCTCTCTGCACTATTATTGATATGTAGCATTTTCACACTTCTATGGCTATGAAACCATTTTGAACCTATATCAGAGGCGCACACTTTAGGAAAAACCAATACAGACAATAGTGCCTCTTGTTATGGTTTTTGCTTTTATCAGAGTGTTGGAAAAGGTCCTCTTTATCCCCAAGATCAGTTAATGCTTCCTTATGTTGTCATTTCTGTGGGCTTTTTTCCATTTAATGTTTTAGTCCAGTTGAAATATATTTTTGTATATGATGTAAAAGACATTCAGCTCATTTTGTGTATGTATTTATTGATTGAAAAATGCCAGTTATTCCCAAACCTTGCATTAAATGTGTTTTTGTTTTTGTTTTCAGGTATGGAACCCTTCAGATCAAAGCTTACCAATAAATTCAGTATGTAGAACAGATTAGTGTAGTTGAAGTGGGGAAGAATGAGAGTTATCCCAACCAGCCAGCACCCCCTACTCCCATTCCCACACTTTCCCTCATGGGAGGCTGCCAGGAGCACTTTGAAAACCACTGGAAAGGCCGGGCACGATGGCTCATGCCTGCAATCCCAGCACTTTGGGAGGCCAAGCAGGCGGATCACCTGAGATCAGGAGTTTGAAAACAGCCTGGCCAACTTGGTGAAACCCCATGTTTACTAAAAATATGAAAATTAGCCAGGCGCAGTGGTGCACACCTATAATCCCAGCTACTGGAGAGGCTGAGGCAAGAGAATCGCTTGAACCTGGGAGGCGGAGGTTGCAGTGAGCTGAGATTGTGCCGTTGCACTCCAACCTGGGTAACAGAGTGAGACTTCGTCTCAAAAAAAAAAGAAAACCCGTTGGAAAAATTCATCCTCTTATAAATGACTTGAAATGCCACCTCCGTAGTATACTACCTTAAAAACTTTACATACTTCAATTGTTTTTCTCTTTTTGTGCCAAGTCATACTTTAAAGAACCCAAGAGCTTTATAACATAACAAAAGAAGAAACTGAAATGTCTAATAAATGTGTATGTAACAATATGAGTTGTTTGTGTCTTTTTTGGCCTATAAAATTAGCATAGAACTTTAAAATAATATGCAGCATTGGTAAGAGCTGAATAAATACCTTTAATATAGAGAAGATTTAACTTAGTAAAACTATGGTAGATAACGTGTGTCAAAAGTTTATAATGCTCATCGTTTGATCCAGCATCTCACTTACAGGATTTCACCCTAAAGAAACAGAAGCATGTGAAAAAAATTTGCTATTATTGACAAAATTGAAGATGATCAATAACAGTGTGGGACTGGGTAAATGAATCATGACACATCCCCATGAGATGGGATACTCTTCAGCCATAGAAGTGATACTGTAGAAAGAAAAATAGTGAGTGCTTGTGATGAATCTGGCACCATACCAGGCACCTCATTTATACTGTCTTAAGCCTAACAATACCTCTATACGATCGGTATTATTATTCCCATTTATAAGTGAGAACACACTCAGAGAAGTTAGGTAAGGTTCAAACAACTAGTAAGGTAGTGTTGCTGAACTTCAACCCATGTCTACTCTTAACCCTTATTCTTAGCCACTGTCATGATACAAGAAAATACTATTTACTGACAGGTTGTTTTAATGCAATTTAACTGACATTAAACATCAAATGAAAACTCCTATATGCAATCCCTTCTTCCTTTCCAAAGTTCCTAGGCTTGGTAATTTTTTATCCTAAAGTGAATTTGTATGTTTTTTATTGCTTATGAAAGTATTACATGCCTACTCTAAGAATTCAAACTGTACAGAATATTATAAAATAGCTGCATCTTTAGTCGTAAATTATACCGTCTGTATATGATATGATGGATTCATAGGCTCTCTTCCCTCAATTCTGTTCTTGCTGTGGTATCAGCTTGTGGGCCCTGGTTTTGGATAGAGATGAACTAGAAAGGCAAACTGAGTGGAGTACAGGTGTGGGTGGTTGACTTTCACCACAGGTGATTAGAAACACTGATTCTGGAGCCATTGGACTTGGGCAACTAATAGGAGTGCTTACTGCTTGTGATATGCGTACATGGTTTCCCCATTTGGTCTTTATGAGTTAGATATTTTTATTCCCTTTTTATACAGATGACAAAACTAAAATTCAGGGAGGTTACATATGGAAGTAGAATGAATCATTAGACCCATTTCTAGGACTATGGACAAGATAAATACTGACAGCTGCTTGGCCAGGAGATAGCAAAATGCTGACAAATGAGAAACAGATCTGCATAGCCGTCACACCCTCTAGAACCAAGGGGTATTGTTTTAAGATAGAGGACTGGGTGAGTATCAGAAAGCTGTGCTTTGAAAACCTGACTGCTTTTAAGTATTTCCTATTTTGTTCTCATTTTGTAGGTATTAGAATTATTTCTGAATTTATCAGTCTCTCATTTGTGCTTTGGGGAAGCAGAAAAGGCAAAAGGGCTCTTTGGCTATCTTCTGCTGGAGCTTTTAGGGAGGATGTGTCTCCGAGAGACCAGATGTGCCAAGTTTGAAATCCCAGAAGCCCAAGAGGAAAAGAACCACAGGGAGGAAAAGACTGTCCAAAGGCTTCTGGAGTCTTCTCTGCTCCAGAGAGACCTTGGAAGGTTTTGAATAATATTTCTCTGAGGATGGCCTTTCACTTACTCATCTGTCCAGCATGACTCATCCCCAGGAGTGTTGAGTAAGTGAAATTTTGCTGTATTCATGTTTTTGTGACTTATAAAATATGATGATAAGGAGAGAACATGAACTCTGGAGTCAGACATGTTAGCTCGGACATGATACTCTTGGCTTTGTCATTTAGTAGTTGAGTAATTTTTGGCAAGCTAACGTCTCTGGTCTTTCTCATCTGTAAAATGAGAATAAATGAAACCTACTAACCAGAATTGGTATGAAAATGAAATGTGGCAGAAAAAAAATGAAAGTGAATAGTGTCACCACTGACACACAGGCACTCAAGGCCCTTCCTGTCTCCAATCAGGTATAAATTTGGGGCAACATTTGGCCAGGTCTTGTTTATCTTTCTGTTCATCTCTTCTGTCTAATTCAGTGCTTTGTTTACAATGAATGTCTTACAAATGCTGACTGAACAACACTAGCATACCTGCATGAACAATAGGTACATAAATTTTGGATGTGTTTTAATGCTTATTAATCTATCCTGTCAGAGAAGAACTGCCAGTTATAGATAAATATGCCAGGTCAGGGCTGAAGAGTTGGGCAGGTTGTTATCTGCATGGGGTCACTAGGCTCCAGTGGAGAGGTGGGGGCTAAGCTCTCACCCCCTCTGCAGCCACCTGGCACCCAGTTTCAGTTTCCTGAAAGGGAACCTTCTACCAGCTGACAACTGCCTCATCTCTTCTGAGGTTTCCTCTTATAAACAATTTGCTCTGCTTGAGTTTTTTTTATTTTGAAATTATGAAATACTTAAAATGTAAAGAAGATAATGTGACACACATTTACCCATAATTGAGATTGCCATAATTGCTGTAACTTTTTCAAAATTTTGACTTAATTTCAGACTTTCAGAAAAATTGGCCAGGTGTGATGGCTCATGCCTGTAATCCCAGCACTTTGGAGGCCAAAGTGGGTAAATTACTTGAACCCAGCAGTTCGAGACTTGCCTGGGCAACATAGTAAGACCTCGTCTCTACTAAAAACAAATAAAAAAATAATTAGCCAACCATGGTGGTGCATGCCTGTAGTCCCAGCTACTCAGGAAGCTGAGGCAAGAGGATAACCTGAGCCCAGGGGAGTTGAGGCTGAAGCCTGGGTGACAGAGGAAGACCCTGCCTCAAAAAAAAAAAAAGAAAAAAAAAAAGAAAAATTCTTTTTATTACAAAGAATTCCCATATACCTTCCACAGTTTCCCAAATGTTAATATTTTCCCACATTTGCTTTATCCTTGTCTCTGGATATTACATTTGCTGGTTATATTTTTCTGAACCATTTAGGAGAAATTTGCATACATGATGACTGTTTCCTCCTAAATACGCCAGTCCTAATTTTCTAAAAATAAGGATATTCTCTTACACAACCATGGAACAGTTATCAAAATCTGGGAAACTAACATTGATACAATACTTTAATCTACATACCTTATTCAGATTTCACCAGTTGTCCTAATGTACTAAAATTATTTCTGGATTATGTCTGTCTCATTTATAGTAAAAGAAAATCCTGGATTATGCATTGCACTCTGTTGTGTATCTTTAGTCTCCTTCACGCTGAACACTTCCTCAGTCTGGCTTTATCTTTCATGACATTGACATTTTATAAAAATACAGGCCAGTTTTTTTGTTTTTTTTTTTTTCCTTTTTGAGATGGAGTCTCAGTCTGTTGCCCAGGCTGGAGTGCAGTGGTGCGATCTCGGCTCACTGCAGCCACTGCCTTCCGGGTTCAAGCGAGTCTCCTGCCTCAGCCTCCCAAGTAGCTGGGACTACAGGTGCCTGCCACCACGCCAGGCTAATTTTTTGTATTTTAGTAGAGATGAGTTTCACTGTGTTGCCCAGGGGTGGTCTTGACCTCCTGAGCTCACACAGTCAGCCCAACTCGGCCTCCCTAAGTGCTGGGATTACAGGCGTGAGCCACTGCGCCCGGCCTAGGCCAGTTACTTTTGCAGAATATCCTTCCATTTGGATTTTTCTTCTCTTTTCTTCCCTTCCTCCTTCTCTCCTCTCCCCTCTCCTCCTCTCCCCTCTCCTCCTCTTCCCCTCTCCTCTCCTCTCTCTCCCTCCTTCTTTCCTGTCCTTCCTTCCTCTCTCTCCCCTCTCCTCTCTCTCCCTCCTTCTTTCCTGTCCTTCCTTCCTTCCTTCTAAAGCATTTTAGGTAGAGCTAAAACTTCACCTCTGCACCCATCTCCTGCTCTCCCTGTCTGTTTCTTCCTTTGTCAAGGAAACTGCTTTCTAATGTGTTTTTGTCCTTTTACTACATGTGATAAGATCTATAGATACTGATTTTTTGGTATCTATTGAGACTTGCTTTTTGACCCAGTACATGACCACTTTTATAAATGTTCTGTATAATGTAAGAAAGAATGTGCACTCTTCAGTTCTTTAAATGAGTTAATAAGTGTAAAGCACTTACAACCAGTGCCTGTTGCATCATAAGAACCATGCAGTGTCAAATTTTTAAAATAATAATATGAATGTATAGTTTTATATAAATCCAATAGCTCAAATTTATTAACTGTCTTGTTCATATTTTGTATGTTTGTGCTCTCAATCTTTAGATAAGTTCATTAAAACCTCCCTGTGATTGTGATATGTCCGTTTTTGCATGTCTCCTACCAACTGTGTCTCCCGGCGTGGGAGTGAGAGGTCCAGGCCAGTCATCTGGATCCTGTCTCCTGATCCTTCCTGTGAGTGAGAGCTGTGCTTCACTGCACAGCAGAGAATTCAGACAGAAGTCTGGGCACTGACTGAGCAGAAAGGGCATCACAGGGACATAGAGATTAATGAATTCAAACAGACAGAGAATCACAGTGGCATTGCCATCTCCCCTTTTGTAAGCTTTTGCACTGCAGTCTAATCATCACTTGCTGCCCTCTGATATTTCTTCTCTCAAAATGCCTCTTCTGTTCTCTCAACACTAATTCCTCAGAAGTTTAGGCCAATTTTTTGGACAATAGTCACCAAATTCCCTGTTTTTAACATTTCAAAACTACATTTCAATATTCACCTGATACTTATGGGACCGGAAGCTTGAAGAGAAATGTTTCTTAACTGATTAAATATTGAATACTGTTGGCTGTACAGTGGTAAACAAAATACACATGGAGATTTCAGAAGAGTGGAGACATGAAACAAATAAATTGCTAGAGGATAGAGAGCTGGACTCTATAAGGGAAAAAACAATAAGTGGGGAAGGGTGTGCCAAGAGTAACATCCCAACCGGCTCTCAGAGGGTCACGGACCAGGGCAGACCTTGGCCACTAAGCTCTGAAAGAAGCCACGAAGCTAGAGCACATGCAACCAGGTGGTGTCCAAAAGACAGGGGCTAGCTCCCAGAGGGCTACATGAGCCACAGGAGAGCTTTGGATTGTGTTCCAGGAATGGGAATCCATTGAAGGGTTTTAGGAAAAGAGTGAGGCCAGGTGCAGTAGCTCACACCTGTAATCCCAGCACTTTGGGAAACTGAGGTGGGTGGATCACTTGAGGTCAGGAGTTCAAAACAAGCTTGACCACCATGGTGAAACCCTGTCTCTACTAAAAAATACAAAATTAACCAGGCATGGTAGTGCATGCCTGTAATCCCAGCTACTTGGGAGGCTGAGGCAGGAGAATCACCTGAACCCAGGAGGCGGAGGTTGCAGTGAGCCAAGATCATGCCATTGCACTCCAACCTGGGCAAATAAGAGTGAAACTCCATCTTGGAAAAAAAAAAAGAAAAAGAAAAGAATGAGATGACTGGATTTATGGTCTTCAATACAGCTATAGCTAGTAGGTAGAGAATGACTACAGAAGGTCAAGAGTGGAAGCAGGAGCCAGATGTGGTGGCTCATGCCTGTAATCCAAGAATTTTTGAAGGTTGAGATGGGTGGATCACTTGAGGTCAGGAGTTCGAGACCAGCCTGGCCAAGATGGTGAAACCCCATCTCTATTAAAAATGCAAAAATTATCTTGTGTGGTGACACACGCCTATAGTCCCAGCTACTCAGGAAGCTGAGGCAGGAGAATCACTTGAACCTGGGAGGCGGAGGTTGCAGTGAGCTGAGATCACGCCACTGTACTTTAGCCTAGGCACCAAAGTGAGACTCCATCTCAAAAAAAAAAAAAAAAAAGAATTGTTTACACAGTTCATGGTGACCACCATAGCCACCTCATAAGTCTGGAAGGTCTACTGTTATAACCATAACTCCCTCCCCTTCTTTGAATGTTTTGAGTATTTTGTTAAAAACTTTTCATTTTGAAAAAGTCAAACTTACATAAGAGAATAGCACAATAAACATCCATGACTTTGATTCAATAATTCTCGTTTGCCAATATTCACATCGCCTGACTTTTTTTTCTATGCTGTAATATTTTAAAGCAAATCCTAAATATTGTGTAATTTTGTTCCTTCATTAATCAAGGATCCATCTCTAAGATATGAACATTTTCTTACGTACTACAAAGCCATGTTCATTAAACTAATAATTTATTAGTAATATCTAATATCAATTCCATAACCAGATATCCTTGATTATGTCAAAAATGTCTTTTTATAGTTGATTCATTTGAATCAGGATCTCACTAAGGTCCACACAATGCATTTGGTTGTTAGATCTTTTAGTTCTCTTTTAATCCAGGACACTGCTTTTTTTCCCTCCTTTTTACTTTCACTCTCTTTAGAAAATGTATGTTATTGACTCATAGACACTGAATTAATTGTCCTATAAAAGTCTCAATACTATTACAAATAACAAAAATTCATAAATTTTTTTAAAAAAGGACAAACTATGGTGTTTGAGGCTTAACTTTAAACTTCAGCAAGTCAGATTATCGCTTTGGAATGTTCTTTGAAGTATCTGGCATACAGTCCAGTCCAGTGAACCATAAAAACTTCCTACTTGGCACACACATTGCACATTGTTTAATAAGAATGCTTATTGCACATTAATAAGAATGCTTGTGCTTAGTGTTTTTTGTTTGTTTGTTTGTTTGGAGACAGAGCTTTGCTTTTGTCACCCAGGCTGTATACAGTGCAATGGCATGATCTCAGCTCACTGCAACTTCTGCCTCCCAGGTTCAAGCAATTCTCCTGCCCCAGCCTCCCAAGTAGCTGAGATTACAGGCGTGCCACCATGTCCAGCTAATTTTTGTATTTTTAGTAGAGTCGGGGTTTCACCATGTTGGCCAGGCTGGTCTCAAACTCCTTACCTCAGGCAATCTGCCCATCTCAGCCTCCCAAAGTGCTGGGATGACAGGCGTGAGCCACCACGCCCAGCCATGCATAGTGTTTTAATTTATCATCCAGTCTTCTCAGGTGCTTGACCTGCTTACTATGATTTGTCAACTGTTGTTAAGTTAACTGAATCTAAAAATAGCACACGGTTTCTCAGACATTTTAAAAAACCATTAAGATGATACTTCAGTTTGCTAACCTCAGTCTTCACTTCAGAAATTAGAAAACTAAAAATAGTTGAAATGAAGGTAGCATCAGTA